AAAACGTTTTCATCTCTCTTAGGTCAGGAGCTATTGATATTGTACGAAAAAGAGATAAATCGCTTATATCTCACGAACTATCTAGTAAAAGTGGTCCAAACTTGGTGGGTGATCAGCATTCGATAAGCGCTATGTCCACACAAAATTAGAAGTCTCTAGCTATCATGGTTCTTGAGTTACAGGGGGGGTCGGTACTTTTGACAAGTACTGTAATATTTATCATTAAATCAAAGGTTTCAAAGCATTCTTAGACGAAACGGCATTTACTTATATCGATATGGGCCTTTTTGTGGAGTTGTCACCATCTAAAGCGTTCGTCTAACACAAATATCCTTGTTTTTGGCAGTGAGTACTCTATTTTATTGTGTAAGAGCAGTCAACATGACATTAAACACTTTTTTAAGATTTTTTTTATCTGTTATAATCTAAATACTATGATTTATATGTAATAAATTAATTTTATATATATTGTAAATTAATTTTTGCTAAATAGAAATTGAGAAAATTTCTAAACAAGAGTGATGGGATATTTTTTTGTTACGGATTTAATGCACTATACAAACGTCAGACAAAGTTGGTTATATCATTATTATCAACAAAGAAGTTATATCATCTCTCAAAGAAAATATATACAAAACTTTGAAAGAAGTCGCATAGTGGGCAACCATGTGGACTTTAGGTGAAAAAGCGAAAGTGAGATTTTTTGGAGATTTGAATAGCAGAGCATATACTTCATCATACGCACTATAACTTTGCCATTGCAAGTTTTTTTTAGGCGTCAGTTTTAGCGGGAGAGTCGACGATGAATTCTTTTTAGGAAAACAGAGCAGCTAAGATAGAAAATCATTTTGCGACGAAACAATAGACGATATTTATTAAAATTTTATATAGTCTAAAACTAGGCATTTCGCTCTATACATTCGTAAAAAAATTTTCTGTTTTGGCTTTTCCATGACCGATAAAACTAGGTTTCTTTTTTTGCTACGTGTTTTCCGAAAATGTGTGCTCAGTGTAATCGGTTTCCGATTTTTCTGAAGCTTCAAATTCAACGAATTTTTTACCGAAGGTAGGCCTACCAAAGATACATATATACTGATAGCGCAAACTAGCGCAAATACTCCTGGATCGAGTTGTAGGTTTTCTAAAAAACCCTCGGGTTTTCAGATAATTTAGGTTTTTCTCAGTTTGGCACTTAAATTAAAAAATAAGGTGATATTCGGAATCAGCGTGGAAAACTGCGTCGAATGGTGTATAATTCACGCGGTTCAGAAAATTCTTTTACTCAGACTATTATTTTGTGATCGGTATCGTCCGCAATGGTGTTAAACTAGGGTAAGGAAGGTTGTTGATGGTTATGGTAATCTGTTATAACAATTTGATTATGAAGGACTCCCACTTTACCCGAAGTGGCTAGCGGAGAAGGGTAGGAAGGCTGTGAAACTTTAAATTCGTCCACATTGTGGAACCATGAATTACGGGATAGAGACAGAGCCTTCTAGGAGGTGTCTGTCTGTCACACAAACCAGGCTTTGTTACCCTGCATCGGTACCCCCTGATGTGGCTGATCGATGCCTCTGCGGATCATAAGAATTCCGTACGCGAGGGCGGCGTGCGTTTCCATGGGACAGTTAGTTGTTCTATCAGTGGTAGATAGTCAGATGATTGTTAACGGCAGTCTGATTGCTATGGTTCGAATGACGAACCATGAAAATTGACACATTTGAACAATGAATTAGATGACTTTGCTAGGGACAATAACATATCAGTAAATCAGGTACTCGGCTTTTAATCTAACAACGTAACTACCGAGATAATAAAAAATTGGCGGAGATAGGCAAACAGCTCTATGAGACTGGAGATCTGCAAGATACGAAAAAACAGTTGGACTACGACGAAACGTTAGCTATGAAGTCGCATCTGGATCTAAGTCGTAATCAAATGGATTTTCTTAAAGGATTTTTAGATCCATATATTAAAATACCGAATAGAGAATATGTACGGAATTACTGTAATGATCTACTTCCGGCTACTAGTGTACCAACTAAACTCGAATATCGAAAAAAGACCGGTCACGACGGAGCTGGTAACATGTCTATTTATAAATCAAAGGATATGCCAATGCAGAATACGAATATTTTTAGTAAAATGTTCGTACCGTTGTCGCTGAAAGATTCAACGGGAGAGGTTGTATGGAGAAATGAATCTCCTAATAGTTCACATTGGTGTCGTCCGTTAGGATTAATAGCTGAGAAAGAATCTGCTGAATTATTATGGTTTGTCAATGGTGTTTTTGAACCAGGAGAGACGAGTCAAAGGCAAAATGGCGTCAAAGTCGAATATAATAATGTACAATACGAACTGTTTGTTATGTACAACACGACCGACAGACCGGAAAGATCCAGATTAGATAAAAGAAATTTATTATTTCGCGGTAGATAGAACGGCGGAAAAAACCCTTGATCTCTATAACAAAATGGTTAACGATGACGATAAAATACCACGAAAGAAAGACGACTACACGACGAGACAAGGGCTAACGAATGAACCGCTATCTACAACGGATCAACACTATCTTACAATAACGCACCAATATATAAATGGAACTAGTTGGTTCTTAAAAATAATGTATCATTTACGAGCAGATCTACTTCAGTGGTCAGAACGTGGTGAAGCGGCAAAGTTATGTTGAGAGTAGTCTCGTCAACAGATCGAATTACAATATAAAAGTTTAGGAGGCTGAAACTACGGAGCTAGCTTTATTAGCAGCAAACGAATTCAGCTGGATCGAGTATAGTATGACAGTTCACAGCGTCGTATTTCATGCCGCTCAATTTATCTACAGAAACAATTGTACTGGACTTGGTGAATTGAGTGAGGAAGGATAAGAAGCGATCCAGTTGTCAATTACATCATTGAAAATTCAAAGAAGAAACGTTCAACAATGGACAAACGCGTTTTCACCTGTACACCGAAGATGATAGCTTAGTAAATGACATATTTGAACCACCGTAAAGATCAAAATCAATTATATAGTAAAAAGTTGCAATGATTCATTTGGCAATATATCGCAAGTTGCGCGTCTCACTTGATAGAACCGCTTTAAGATCAGAGGCTATCTACTCGTAGTTTTTGATGTAGCTTTGAATGAAACTTTGTAACTATTAACATCAAAGCCAAAGTTTCGATCCACATTTAAAGAAAAGCTAAGAAATATTAAAAAGATCAACAACCGAAATATAATCAAAATAACTCGTCTAAAGTCTAGTGACTTGGCTTCTACCAACAACAACAGAGAAGCTAAGGGGAAGTGGAGGTAGAGCATTAGGCAAGAGCAGAAAAATTCTATTTTACGTAACCCAAACAGAAAGCGCAGAGAAGAAAAAAGTAGGATAAGTTTGACGTTAGTTTTAAGAAAAAATTAAGTTTTTTAGAGATCTGATTTTCTAGAAAACCAGTTTTTGAAGTGCGTGAACGGGTTTTAGAGCGAAAGTATGAAATATGGATACTCAAAACCTATAAAAGACTTTTTCTCCGAAAAATTCTGAGAAGTTTTAGTTTTTTCGGATTTTTGAAGTCCTTGGTTAGAAAACAGCTTTTCATGCAACCAGATAGCTTTTTAGTCAAATGTCCACATGCCTAGCAAAAATTGTCCACTGTGAGTCGCTTTATTTTATGCTAATAGTCTGCAATTTACTGCAACTTATTTTTAAATAGTTTAACAGTGAAATCCGTTCTAGAATATACCTGAGGCAAATTGCATCAAATAAAAAAGATGTCGAATGACATTAATTCTGACTGAACGGAAAGAAAAGGTTAATTCCTTTATTTATAATTATTTTAACAATAAGATTCTATTTTAATTATAGTTTGCTAATACTCGTTGAAAATTGCAGATGGAGTTCTATGCACATAAGTAGGAAAGCACTTTTAATATAATAACACGAGTTTGCGACGTAAAAGGAATCTACTAGTAAAAACATGATTCATTAGCGCAAAATCGACTTTTTATACGGGGAACAGAATCGGTCCGAATTTTTTTTCTGAAGAGCTTATTATGTGAATCGACGGGCAGCAAAGTATCTCTTGATTCAAATCACTTTTCACATTTTGGCGCGAATAGTAGCGCGTTTTAAGTGGCGCCACTATTCGCGCCAAAATGTGAAAAGTGATTTGAATCAAGAGATACTTTGCTGCCCGTCGATTCACATAATAAGCTCTTCAGAAAAAAAATTCGGACCGATTCTGTTCCCCGTATAAAAAGTCGGTTTTGCGCTAATGATATTTGCTAGTATCTGTATGACACAAAAAACCATAACTTTTGTTTTGATAAATAAAAGTACAATAGTCGGAGTGGACTGTCTCGAGAAATTAGAGGAGGCTGATCATCTCACATCCTAAAAGGGATGGATATTAGTGATCCAACATTTATCATACACCATTTATTCTTTTTTGTATCAATAAATATCGAGAAAGGCATTAAGAAGAGATACTGCGCTGTGAATAAGTGGAAGCGGACTTAGAAATCCTGCTATAAATCGTATTTTTTAGAGTGCATACGATATCTCTATAACAAAAGAAATTGAAACAGATGATAAGAGTGATTATTCTTGTTGGTAATATTTTTCATCTATAACGTTTGAAAATATGACAGATTGTTGGAGATTTTCGTTTATAACAGTCACATTCGAACATGTTACTATAATTAAATGTAATATCATGTTTTGTAATTATATAGATTATATTTGATATAAAAATGACTAAGAAAACAAGCTTCTATTCAAAGAAAAATATTAGTATTAATTAACTTAAGTCAAAAAACTGTCCTAGGTTTTATTCAATTCTAGAATGAGAAAAAAGCTCGCTAAACGTATTAAATCATCTGTTAAACGCAGGATATGTATGTCGTATCACTTCTCATTATCATTCTATGATATTGTATACTAGGAAGTTGATATTCAATTGAGTATATTGACATGCCTTGGACATGCCAACAAATATTTCTGTTGGACTTGACTTGGACTTGGAAATGATCGGACTTGCCCATCTTTGTTATAATGAAATTGCACTTGTCGTATGCTCAAAATTTCGAAGCCGTATGGCAAAATGTAAAAAAGTTCTTCCTGGATATATGCACAAACATATAATCAATACTCATTAGTCTACCTATGGTTTCCCTTAAACTAAGCCACAAGAAACATCCAATTCTCGCTTTAGTATGAATACACCTTTATTTCGGCAACTAGTGCTTTTGCCATTGATATGTTGGATAACAGGGCTGGCACTAACAAGAGAAGAAGACAAAACGGTCAGTTACAGATCACAAGACACTACGCCGTTCGTATCCCATCTGTTCGACTGCTCGTATGGAGGGGATATTTGACAACATTGAATGTACTGATGGTATAATGGTGATAGTGTTTCAAGATCTAGGGAATGAAATGAAATTCTCAGTCTTTATGTTTTTTGTAATTATTTCATTTAATTCTCTGTCGTTACCGCATACAAACTACATTTTCTGAAAAACTTTTCTTTTTTTTGACGTTCCACCTTTTCTCATAAGAAAGCGCGTGAACACTATTACTTCCAATGGTCACGCACATTTCTAATCGTTGAGATAGCTGCTTACTTCTCACAAGTAAGTAGAGAATGAGATTTCAAACACAACAAGAACGTTTTGTAAAGTTAGAAGCCCCGATTTTCGGAATTATGTTCTTCTAAAGAACTTTTGTTGTATAAATTAATTGATGAACTATATTAAAGTATTCGATTAACTTTCGCGTATAGGCCATATTTTGTTCTCAGGGTTATCTGAAGTTGTGGCGCGACTTTTTGTCCTGGTACAAGTTCGAAATGTAGACGTTGTATCAGCATTGCTAAAATGACTTTACTTTCTAACATGGCAAAATTTTGACCAATACAATTACGATTACCGGCTGAAAATGGTAAATAACAAAACGGATGAGCTAATTTTGGTTTCAAACCGTCACTATTCCTCATCCAGCGTTTATAATTGAACTGCGACGGATCTTTCCAGTGAACATTCGATCGATGTAGTGCAAATATATTTAACAAAATTGTGGCACCAACAGGCACACGAATTCGTTTTTCATCGGGTCCAATCGAATGTTCTTGAACGCATTCTCTGACAATAACAGGTGCTGGTGGATAAAGGCGTAATGATTCATGTATAACAGCATCAAGTATATGCAAATCAGTCAATTGGCTATAAACAGGTATTTTTCCTTGTAAAACTCGTTCGATTTCCTCATAACAATCACGATAAACGTCTGGATGTGCCATTAGAAGATACATACACCAAACTAACAGATTCCCTGTTGTTTCATGGCCGGCTAAGACAAATGTAATTGCTTCATCTCTCACTTGTTGATCACTGAATCCATTTCCATCTTGATCTTGCGCTGTGAGAAGTAAATCTAATAGATCATTACCATCACATAAACTATGACTAATGCCTGCTTTTCGATCATTAATCATTTGCTCAACAACAGCTGATATTTCTTTTGAACCTTGCCGAATAACGTCTTTTTTTAATATAGGTAATTTGTCTAAAAATGGTATTTGACTCACTGGTATTTGTATTGTACGATATAGAATAGCATCAAGAACAGCGAGGAGTGAATTAGTTATCACATTCTTTGCATGTTCATTTGTTTCAAATGCTTGACCGAAAGCCGATGAAGCTATTACTGATAATGTTAACGAATTTAATTCTACTTGTAAATCGATAATGTTGTTTTCATTCATATTTAACCATTTATCAATGGCGCACGCTGTCTGTTGAGTCATGATAGATATCATCGATTGTAAATTAACAAAATGAAATGCTGGATTCAACATCTTACGTGCACGATTATGATTCTCACCGGCACTTACCAATAAATTATTTTCCCCCATTATATCCTTGAATACATTTCGAAATACTGCAGGTTTAACATAGAATTTTGTATATTTTTTCAATACATCAGACGCATATTCTGGTTCAATAATGATAAGACGTACAAGTGGTCCAAATGAAATTATGTATAAATTTCCATGTTTCGCCTGTAAATCGAGATACCACTGCATACTTTTATCGGCATTTTGATATTGACGAATTTGTTTTAATTGACCAAAAATGGGTACAAATGGTTCACCAGGAATATTTTGAGATCTGAATGCGTTATACAATTGTCGTTGTTTATGAATAAGCGTGAAATAGATGATAGCAGCGAGGATTAGAATAGTAATTATTACTGCATACAGAGCGAATAATAAAAACATAATTAATCCCTGAAATTTTAATAAAGCAAAATTTTGCCTTAAATGGAGCCTCCTATAGCGAAAAACACTTTTCAGTTGTACATACGATAGAAATGTCGAAATAGTTTTATATCAAATCAAACATTTTCTCTCTTGAACTGATAGAGCCTGATATTTTTTTTTTTAATTACGTTTTATTGAAGTTAGAAATCTAGAAAATCTAAAATTCGATTTTCAGAAAAATGAATTTTTATAAATAATTAAGGTCTAATAGACACAAAAAAAGATACACGCATCGTCAACAACCAGAGTATTTGTTGACTATTCAGTAAATTATCGATTAACTTTACGTAAAAACATTGCACAGATCTACAGTACATCTTACCTTTTAAAATTATATGTTTATATACGGGATCATGTTGTTTCTGAAACAGCTGACTCAAACATAATCAGAAAAAAGTCTGCTGTTACCTTTTTTTCGTTTGAATTCTACATCCATGGTTAGACGAGCAGCAAGACAAGTCCTATTTTTTGAAAAGTAAGACAACAAGCATAAGTAGCTGATCCAAGCCTGTCATGTAACTGCCGTTGATAATGTTCGAACATCGTATCTGTAAAGGCTATGGCTAGACCATTTGCTACTCTTTACATTTCTTTTTAATATGATATAGACCTACTCAAACGTGTATTTTACACAATTTTTGAATGATTTAATCACTGTAGAAGTTCTGCCTTGAAACTATTTCTGGTCAAACGAGTTTCTCTAACAAAGCATCTCTTCTAACTGTACTATAAACAGTCCTTCTATTAGCCGTGGAACAACATTATGAAAATCAAGAAAAATAAATTTTATTTATCTTACTATATAATCAGAGTATCAACCTTTTGTTTTTCTATTTATGCTAAAGTTCGAAAACAACCCATTTATTTTTGACCTTATACCATACGTATAGATATTTCTTTAGAGCAGACCTGAAAGAAAAAACATTTATATAGAAATATTAATTCACTCATTGATATTAAAGACTTTTTTTATTTTGTTCTTTGCTTGTTTTCGTCTTAAAAACACATGATGTTTTACCTGTACAAAAGACAAAATAAGTGACAAAACACAAAAAAATATCATGATTAGATCCATCATTACACTAATAGTTCTTATCTCAATATACTAAACATTAATTATGGAAAGCATCGCAATTTATGTCAATTTATTATAGTTGAATATTTTTTCTTTTCAATTTATTTTTATAAAAAATCTACTCAAAACAACCACCCCATCATTATAGACGCCTTTGTGTTCGATTTGATCACATAGAGAGACTTGAGTGATCCCCTTACCTAGCAAAAACAAAACCTTTATATTCTGATGTATAGAAATCAAAACAAGAATATACGACATTTGTTAAAAACTATCGCCACTTCGAAAAAATTTTAAAATTCTGATAAACTTAAACATGTTGGAAAGTAAATGTGACCGTTTTCAACTGTGTAATACTAGAAAACAAAAATTGACGAATATTCCTTTCGTTGTATATAAAGTTCAATATTTAACTCTTACACAGATTGAAGTAACACTTGAATCCATTAATCCATCTGTCTCGTAACATACCAGATAGGGGTAGATGACGTTCATTTAAGTTACAGAGTCAACATATCGTTTACAGGATTTTACAGATAGTATTCTGCGAAACTGCTATTCTGCCCTTACCAAGGGAAACTGACATTAAATAACTCATGCGTAACCGGTTAACTGCATAGGTATAACGTTAAATTGATTTTTAATCGACTAAAACTTGTTAAAAAACAGACTGTTAACAGTCGCCGTTTTTTGTCTTTTATTTCACTGTGAATCACGGCCTCAAAACAGGCATTATGCACTTAACCCTTTGCATCTGCTCGCCAGTCCCTTCCAAGGAACATTGATGTAATAGGTTTTTAAAGACAAATTTTTTTCTAATGTAAGATAATAAATAACCTAACGCTAGATAGATAAAAAAAGAAAAATGTCGCATTCCAGTAAAGTGATCATTTCAGTTATAATAAAAGTGCCTTCGGATGTAAAGGGTTAAAACTAAAATTTACATCGATCATTAACTGCTTGTTAGCATGCCATTTTGAAACAATTAAAATATCACTTTCTAATCATTTGTCAACAAATCATTCATCCTTTTGTTTCATTATTTCGACTAATATAAATTTGCCTCTAATTCTTCTAGAAAAAAACTTGTTGAACGAGTTTTTGTCATCTTCAATTACACAAGTCATCAAAATTTGTTTCGAGAAGATACCCTTTAGTTCTGGAATTGATACCAGTAATGGTATCACGGTCCAAACAACCATAAATATTGAAATTAACAAATTCAGTCTTTGTGAGGTTACTAGCCAGATGAAAACTGACTTCAGAAAATGTTCGAACAATAGATCGCTATCAGCGCATAATGGTGCAATAACGACCTTAAAACGAACCTCATAAAATGTCCATTTTTTGATCCATTAAAACGTTCCGATTTTAAATGTCTGAAAGAGATCAAAAAATTGCCTCAAGGGTCTAAAAACGTCCATTTAACAAACATTAATGGATGTTTAATAGAGACAATTAATTACATCGTTTTTGACGTCTTAGATAATATTTATTATTCAAATGCATTAATCACAAAAAAATTTCAAAGTATTTTTTAAATCAGACTACCGTAGTAAATGTATTGAAGTGAACGTACTCCAAAGTACCTGAATGCTGCATAAGTCTCTGCGAAATAGCCATTAGAGTATTGATATTAATAAGAAATATGAACTAACAAGGGAACTGCCTTATTAAGAAAGGTTTTAGTTTTTTTTTAGAATTTCTGAAAAACTGGTTTGTTCAGAAAACCGGGTCTTCAAGAGCCAGGGGCACGAACGCTTTTAGAATTTTCTTAGTCTCAACAAGGTCTATCCATGACCAAAATATGGAGTCGAAAGCGCTGGATTAGTTAGGGTAGTTCTCTCGTAAGTACCTAAACAGACTGATTGAGTACCCAATTATTGAAATCGTTCCACAGAAGCGTTGATTCTGTTTCACGTGAGGAACTACATTATATTATTGATTTTTGGAAATAATTATCTTCCTTTCGCTAAGACGCAGACAACTCTCTTAATTTAGCCTATTTAAAAATTGTATTGATTATGTGAGAATATGTCGTCAGGATCCTCTTTTAGGTACCTGTTCGAGTACCTTGTATTAATACACTGAGATAACGTGAGAAAAGAAAATTTACACTTGAAAACATGTAATCGCTAAGTTAGAAGTGGAGAAGATCGAAATTTTCACAAGAAGTCCAGGAAACTTTATTAGGATGTTGGGTAATACTATATTGTTGTAAATTTCTGATGAAACATATTAGTCAAAATACCTTTCGGCACCCAATAAAAAGACTTCACCAGTAAAACAATTTGCTTATTCTTTCTTATAAACAGGATTATGGAAGATGCTTTACCCTCTAAAAAAAGTATACTTCATTTTCAAAGAACTGAAAAAATCAATGGGAACTTTGTTCTTGATTTATCATAAATAGAAAACTCAAATTCAGTTCTTGTCTCAGTAACTCAACATTTTTCAGTTGTTTTTAGTAAAGTTTACATACAAAGATTTGATCGTTCTGGTTTCTTTCTTTGAAATTTTTCATTTATTAGTAACGTTCTGATCTATGACTCTCAACGGCGCAATAACTTCAGAAAATTCATTGGGTGCATGGCTAACATCTCTGACTGTTGCCTGTATTCTGTTTAGAGCCACTATATTACTAAAATATTAAGACGTTCTTAATAATGTATAGATCAGTGAATATCTTAGTAAGCAAGTAAGTGTTGCCCTAGTGAATGCACTTGAGACTAAGTACTTGGAAAAGTACTTGGGTAAGTAATGTCCAGAGTATCTGGAGTTTTGGGTAAGTAAAAAAGGTACTTATCAGGTAATTTAACAAATATAAGTACTAGATAAGTACTTTATCAAGTATTTGGCAGTAACTTGGTAATTACTTGCGAAATATATGCAAGTATTCGAAGTTCTTCCATTACTTGGCTCGTATTAAATCTAAAAATGCTTGATAAGTGCTTAACCAAGTACTCTAGAAAATTTGCAAGTAGCTAAGTACTTGATCTCAAGTACATTCGCTAGGGTGCTGTTTAGAACAAGATGAAACAGAAATTGCAGTTGACGCTCATTTAAATTCAAAACTTTCATGAATTTTTATTTAAAAATAAAAAAGTGCACGAGATAAACATGTTTTTCTTAGTTTCGTTATCATTATGTTTGCAACCAATTTCATATACTAGGTACGTAATGCTCATCTGCGATTTGCTCGATCCCTCGACTTAAGCTGTGCACAAGTTCTTCATAATGTTCACAGCAAATATTCATTATCAGAAAAAGACAAAGCAACACACTGTAATGTTGAGAATTATTTACAGAAAATGCTCGGCGATTTTCAAAAAGTCCATATATAAATTCCTTGAGGATTTTCTAGATTCTAGAAAATCGAATTTACAAGAAACTTGGAAATTCGACTCGATTTTCCAGCATTCTTGACATTCGAGGTCGAATTTTCAGTTCGATTTTCTAGACTTATGGAAAATGCTTAGCGATTTTCAATCTGGAATACCTCAGTGATTTTATATATGGACTTCTGGAAATTCGAAAAAAAGAATTAATTTCCAGTCATCTGGAAAAGCGCCGAGGAATTTCCAGATTATTGCTTGTGTAGCAATGAAGCTACGCTGCAAAAGACAACTTAAAATTTTAGACGTGTTATAATACATTAAAATTACACCCTGACTTCTCATAATACACTTTGGGATTAACTAACGCTTTTTAACATTATCTTCGGAGATTAAAAGTGCGTTTTATGGATTAAAATAGTACCATTGGAACGCGTCGAAAAGTCAAAAAATATGTCTTTTACGCGTTAATGTTTTCTAAAACATCGTTTCTGCATCGACGAAACGTTTTACAACGCATTCACAATTCGTCTAGAAAATTTTCAAAA